ATCGAGCTCTCCGCAGCGCTGTGTCCAGCCTGGCGCGTGTGGACGATTTCCACTGCGCCGAGAAGATCGGGGCCGGCTTCTTCTCTGAGGTCTATAAGGTAAGACCCGCGGAAAGCACAGAGGGGCGGGACCGAGCCTTCAACTAGAGGCTGGAACTTGGGGGCTGGCCCCCAGGGTAGAGATCCCGGACTCCGGCAACCCACCCAATCTGTCCGACACTCACCGGCCCCTACTGCCCCCAGGTTCGGCACCGACAGTCAGGGCAAGTCATGGTGCTGAAGATGAACAAGCTCCCCAGTAACCGGGGCAATACACTACGGGAGGTGCAGCTGATGAACCGGCTCAGGCACCCTAACATCCTAAGGTGAGCGACTCCAGCCTCTTCCTGGGCACCTTGCTGGGCTGGAGGGAAAGGGGAAGAACCAGTGCGAAAAGTGGGAACTAAGGAGGGGCCGGGTCTCTTACAGCCTGCCCTCCTATCCTCCCCATCTTCTTCCAGGTTCATGGGGGTCTGTGTGCACCAGGGACAGCTGCACGCTCTTACAGAGGTGAGGATAGGTTAAGAAAGGGGAACCCACCTTCACCACTACCACCATCACCAAGGGGAAAGGGATCAATGTGCTTGCTGAATCTACGTAGAATAAGGAGAGGCATAGGACCGCTTCGTAGAATAAGGAGAGGCATAGGACCGCTTCCCAGGGGAAGGTCCTTGAACTTCCCTGTGGATAAACCACATATAGGAAGCCTCATCTGGTCTCATTCCCTGTGTCCTCTAGAACACAGCAGTCCCATAAACTTTATGCAGTGATGAAAATGTTCTGTGTGTACTGTCCAGTACAGTAGCCACCAGCTACTCTGAGGCGGGCTGGGGGGGGGGGTGCTACATCATGGGAAATGTCGCTGGTGTGAATGAGGAACTAAATGTTTAATTGTATTTAAATTTAATAACTCAAATAGTTTCACATGGCTAACAACAACTGCATTGGACAGGGCAGCCCTAGAACATGAATGGAGGCCCTTAGAGCACAGATGCACACTTCTGACTTTTGTGATCCTCCTTAATATCCCCTGGATGATAAGTGGGAGACCTAGAATGCAGGCTGAGACCTTGACACTCATTCTCCTTCCCCTATGCCCCAGTATATGAATGGGGGAACCCTAGAACAGCTGCTCAGCTCTCCTGAGCCCCTATCCTGGCCAGTCAGGCTCCACCTAGCTCTGGATATTGCCCGAGGCCTGCGGTACCTGCATGCTAAAGGTGTATTCCACCGAGACCTCACATCCAAGGTAGGCTGGCAAGGTGGGTGGAGGCATGACTATTAGGTTATAATGTATTAGGCCCGATGGATGTTGGAATGTGGATAATAGATATATTAGGATATTAGGGTGGCAAGGTATTGGGGAATCCCGGGGTCCTAGGGTGAGAGGCTCTGAAGGACTAATAACTATCACACTGTTTAAAGTGTTGGACAATATTGCAATATTGGGGTGCACTGGAGAACTGGGAGAAAGGGTGGGGTTATGCTGGAGTGACAGAGCTTTGGGGTATATATATTGAGAGACCAGAGAGCAAAAGGTGATAAGTGTGTGAGGATGCCTATATGTGTGTATCAGAACTGTCTGGTCCGACGGGAAGACCGAGGCTTCACGGCCGTGGTCGGTGATTTCGGACTGGCTGAAAAGATTCCTGTGTATAGGTAAAGTAAATACTCTATTCCCCCACAAGCCTCCCAGAGGTCTCCTCTTGAAGTGAAGCCCCCAGGGACATTTCCCTTGGGGTGGGGAGGGTCCTCACTTTATATCTTTTTGCCTGGGGAAAATGCCTGAGTGGATGTTTCTGACTATCCCGCCCCCGCCCCTGCAGGGAAGGGGCAAGGAAGGAGCCATTGGCTGTGGTGGGTTCCCCATACTGGATGGCTCCAGAGGTGTTGAGGGGTGAGCTGTATGATGAGAAGGTAAGACATTAACTGATCAGAGCCCCAAGGGCCTTCAGAGACTCTTGAGATGCTCTCATAAGGCCCCATCCCATCCAAAATTCTACCAGATATTCAAGATTCCCCAAATCCCCCATGCCCTCACCATCACCCTCCCCACACATGAAAATTGTCAAGACTGCCTCCCCAAATCCTGACCTAGTCCTACAAAATTCTGAAGTAAAAACTGTCAATTGTCCCCCTGACATTATTATCTCATTATTATCTACCCATAGGCTGATGTCTTTGCCTTCGGGATTGTCCTCTGTGAGCTTATCGCCCGAGTACCTGCAGATCCCGACTACCTACCCCGTACAGAGGTGAACATCTCTAGGTTTGAAACAGAGGGAGACTCCAGACTAAGATGGCCCACAATCAAGGAGGGTTCCCTGGAGATAGAGGACCTAATAGAGGGGCGGGAGGAAAACCCAAGGAAGGGTGACTTAGAGGCCCTGCTTGTATCCTCAGGACTTCGGCCTGGATGTGCCTGCTTTCCGAACCCTGGTAGGGGATGACTGCCCACTGCCTTTCCTGCTCCTGGCCATCCATTGCTGCAGCGTAAGAGCCTCTCTTTCCCTCTCAGCCCCCCTTCCCCCATCTATGAGCTGATGACTGCTCTAAGGGTCTCCAGTGATAGGAAGAAAACTCAGGAACCCCATAAACCACCTATGTCTACCCACTAGATGGAACCCAGCACCCGGGCCCCCTTTACTGAGATCACTCAGCACTTAGAATGGATCCTTGAACAGCTGCCTGAGCCAGCACTTCTTACCAGGACTCCCCTGATACACAATCAAGGTAAGTAAAGCCAGGTGTGTGGTGCACGCCTGTAATTCCAGCAACTCAAGAGGCTGAGGCAGGAGGATCTCAAGTTTGAGGCAACTCAGTGAGACTCTCAGCAACTTAACAAGACCCTGTTTCAAAATAAAAAGTAAAAAGGGCTGGGGATGTAGCTCAATGGTAATGGGTCCGTGGATTCAATTCCTAGTACCCAAAAAAAAAAAAAAAACCAATCAGGGTAAGTGAGCATGACCTTGACCCAATAAAAGTTCAAAATTCAAGGGAGTTATTTAAGGTTAAGTGGATTTAATAATAGTTTGAGAACACTAGGAGTTGGTGTGGGCTGGGGAGAGAGGACAACTCAGAAGATGGTTTTCTAATGCTAGAGCCCAAGGGAGAAGAGGTAAAAAAAAAAAAAGGTGGGTAGGGGTGACATTTCCTCTTTCCAAGAGCACCCTGTGTGACTCCTTTTTCTAATGAAGCACTCAGAAGCTAGGATCAAATGCTAAGAATGGTGATCACAGACTTCTCTGTCTATAGGGTCTATTCCAAGAGGTGGTCCCTCTGCCACGCTTCCAAGACCAGACCCCCGGCTCTCCCGAAGCCGGTCAGACCTCTTCCTGCCCCCATCACCAGAATCACCCCCCAACTGGGGGGACAATCTGACACGAGTCAACCCCTTCTCACTACGGGAAGATCTCAAGGGTGGCAAGATCAAGCTCCTGGACACACCCAACAAGCCGGTCACGCCTCTGCCCCTTGTTCCACCATCACCACTGCCCTCTACTCAGCTGCCCTTGGTGACTACTCCAGAGGCCCTGGTCCAACCTGGGACACCTGCCAGACGCTGCCGCTCACTACCCTCATCCCCTGAACTCCCTCGACGTATGGAGACTGCACTGCCAGGTCCTGGCCCTCCTGCTATGGGTCCCTCAGCTGAAGAAAAGATGGAGTGTGAAGGCAGCAGCCCTGAGCCAGAACCCCCAGGACCAGCTCCCCAGCTGCCCCTGGTGGTGGCCACAGACAACTTTATCAGCACTTGCTCCTCAGCCTCCCAGCCCTGGTCCCCTAGATCAGGACCTCCCCTCAACAACAACCCACCAGCTGTGGTGGTGAACTCCCCACAAGGCTGGGCGGGGGAGCCCTGGAACAGGGCTCAGCATAGCTTGCCCCGGGCAGCAGCCCTGGAGAGGACAGAACCCTCGCCACCCCCTTCAGCTCCCCGGGAGCCGGAGGAGGGGCTGCCCTGTCCTGGCTGCTGCCTTGGCCCTTTCAGCTTTGGTTTCCTGTCCATGTGCCCCCGCCCCACCCCAGCTGTCGCCCGCTACCGCAACCTGAACTGTGAGGCGGGCAGTCTCCTCTGCCACCGAGGGCACCACGCCAAGCCACCCACGCCCAGCCTGCAGCTGCCTGGGGCACGCTCTTAGCAGTGGGGCCTGTGATCTCAGGCCTCCAACTTTGGCCTTCAGGACACCCTGTAAGGATAGAGCACACTTGCTGGACAATGCCAGCCCCAGATGGGCTGACTGGCTCTTCTCCCCGTAGGGGAGCCTCAGCATGGACTCAAGGGACAGAGCACTTCCTATCCAACCCCTGGGCTCACTCTCCCACGGGGATCACTGAACCAGACACAGCATTGCTGACACACGAGACTAACACGTGCAAATTATTTAAAAATATTTCAATAAAAACTGCCTGGCTGGCTCCGGGCCGCCCCATCCACTCAGCCCTTGCGCCCTGCTCCCCCCACCCATTTCCAGTATGGGAGGTTCTTGAGGGGGGTCAAAGTCCCTTCTAGAGGCTTCTTTATCCTCTTCCCAGGATCAGTCCAATTTCTGGGACAGGTTTTCAAGCAGGCTGGCTAGAAGTGTCAGGTGTGGATCAGTCCTTAGTTGGCAATGCCCACACTCAGGGGGTGCCTGGGGATGACAATCTTGGATGTGCAGGCCACAGGTTAGGGATCAGAGTCACAAGCTCTTATTAGCATGAGTGTCTGGAAGGGTAAAGCATCAGTGAGTTCCACAGTTGACTGTTACCAAACCTTCATCCACCTTTTGCTATCTTTTCCCCAACTCTCTTAACAGCCACATCACCAGACTTTCTGCCCAACCTACCCTTACATAAGCAGACCAAGTGATCAGAGGCTGAGGATGTCTAACCCAGGAACAAGTTTCCCCTCTGTCCCGTCCCTGGACTCCCATGCCTCAGCCCCATCTCTCATGCTTACCCCATTCATTGCAAAGAATGATCCCCGTCTGGAAACCTGAAAGATGACTGCTCACAGATGAAGGGAAGGGAACTTGTACATGTCTCTGACTGTATATTCCACCATGAATAATATCTTTTTTGTATCTTGTTGCATCTTGAGTTTAAGGACAAGATTTAGAATGATTAGAAGTGGGAAATGCTCTGGACCCCTTCTAATCCATCCTACCATCTCTCATCTATGCATAAAACTTAGCCTATGTCCATATCTGGGCATGGTTCAGAGGCAGATTTCTAGACTCCAGCTACAAAAGGCTCTAAGTCCAGGGCAGAAAAAAATTACCCAAATCTTAAAAATGAAAACTCCAGATAGAGAACATAAGGATGTCCTTAGGTGTGATTCAAAGCTATTCCACTGCTCCCTTGTTCACTTCCCCAAGTGGTCTGGACTGAGAAAGTATGACCCCAGTTTGGGCAGCCTTGTCAAGGGATGGGGAGTCAGAATGCCGGTGTGAAGCCCTAGCTAAATTCTCAGCTTCTCCCTCTGAAAGATGACATGGATCCCAACTTAGTAATTTTTTTAAATTATGCCAAGGACTTCTAGACACCAAAGATAGAACAGAGAATAAGACTGCTCTAAAGTTATTAATCAAATAGGGGGAATAAAAAAAATAGGCAGATACATTATTGATTTATAGAAGAAATTTGGGAGTTGAGGTTGGGGAAGAAATTTTTTTACTATGTCTTTATGAGGGGATTATGGAGTTCAAAATGCCAAAAAAGTCCTCACCAACTTACTCATGTAAACCAGAAGTCCTCCATTGGTCCTTATTAGCGGTTGAGCTAATCCAATATGAATTGAAATCACCATGTGAAAATATAGGTTCTCCACTGGACTGATACTATGAAATTCAGAGAAACCAGAGATGTGTAGATAGTGATGAGAAATATAGGAGAAAATCAAACACTCTAGGAAAAGGCCTATAAACTTTGGCAAAGGGATATGATGGCTCATCTGTGACTTGTTCTGCATCCTTCAAGTGCCACTCTACAGATGCAGTCTCACTCTTTAGTTCACCTCCCAACTTGGTAAGAATATCTGCTATCCTTTGGAGGGGAGTTGCTATGTGGACTGTTCTGGTCCCAAAGAACCAGTTATTATGATCCAACCCACCAAATCTGGCACCTCGCAGTCAAAGAGCTGTTAAGCAGCCCATAGGACTGACCAGCAAGATGAGACACAAAGTAGAGATTATAAAAGTTTCAGCTCTCATGCCAACTCTAATCAGTTAGTAGAAGCCACCTGGAACATAGGACTGAGAAGACACAGGCCATTTTCAAGTTCAGTGGCAGAGTGTTGTGATTATCAGTATTTGCCACGGAAAAGGAATGCCATGGCATGTATGCCAGGTGTGCACTGCCATTCCTGATTTGACGACATACCTCCCTTCATCTAACAGTGCCCCTTTGTTCTGTGGGTAAGGGTATGCTTACTGAGTAATCACGTCTCCTGAATGTGGCCAGGTTGGAGGATAGAGATTTACAATACTTTTGGCTCTCCTCCCAAGTCTGATGAGTAGACGAGAAGTAAAAGCAGCGATATTCATTCAGTATCCATCTCACTGGACAGCAATGGCCTACAAAGCAAAAGAGTGCAACATCACAACCCCTAGGACCTAGGATGAAAGTGACTACTCACAATCTGGTTGCTAACAATATTCCCCTAAGTCTAATCTTGGCACCTTCATGGACTTCTAGTCCTTGATCTTTGCAATCTTCCTTTCTTTTTCCTCTTCTGGAAATGCCTTTCCTCTGCATATACAGTTAAAAAAGAAAAAAAAAAGTCATTTAACAATTTTTTTTTCTTTTTGGAAGTGGGGATTGATACCAGGGGTGCTTAACCACTGAGTCTCAGTCTTTTTTATTTTTTATTTTTTATTTTGAAACAGGGGTTTTCCTAAGTTACTTAGGGCCTCTAAGTTGCTGAGGCTGACCTCAACTTATAACCCTCCTGCCTCAGCCTCCTGAGTCTCTGGGATTGCAGGTATGTGCTAGCCACCATGCTAGCTAACAACATTTCTTAATAATCTGGGAGGTTTATTTTAGTTGGACTGGTCATTATCCCCAATTTCTGAAAGATTACAGTCTACTCCAACAGTTTGATTATCCTCACCTAGGCCCCTGTATTTGGTCAACAGGCCTCCCATTTGTTCCTTCATCTCATTTGCTCCCTAAAGCATTCCCCACTGCCCATCAAAACTTCATCACACTCCTCCAGCCACTAGCTGCCTCCCCTCTCTACTCTTCCATAAGGAAACAACCTTCCTCTTTTGCTCAGTCCCTATTTTGTAAATACTCTCCACTTTTCTCCTTCCCACCTCAAAATTTCTGTCTCTGTTCTTCTTTTCCTGATTAACCATAAGAAATAGACATCCCTCTTTAACATCCTATATTCCAATCTGTGCTCATAATCTTAACCCAACTCTCTCCAATGATTTGATTCATCAGTCCTAAATCTATCACTTAAAAGTCAGCTGGGTTGGGACTGGGACTGTGGCTCAGAGGTAGAGTTCTTGCCTAGCATGTGTGAGGCACTGGGTTCAATTTTCAGCATCACATATAAACAAATGAATAAAAAAATCTATCAACATCTAAAAAAATAAACAAAAAATCAACTAGGGGGCTGGGGTTGTGGCTCAGCGGCAGAGGACTTGCTTAGCACGTGCGAGGCCCTAGATTCGATCCTCAGCACCACATAAAAATAAATAAAATAAAGATAGGTGTCCAACTAAAAGCTAAATATTTTTTTTGCTAAATATTTTTTTAAAAATCATCTAGGTATGGTGATGTACATCTGTAATCCTAGTTACTAGGGAGATGGAGAATGGAGGATCTCAAATTTGAGGCCAGCCTCAGCAACTCAGCAAGACCCTCAGCAACTTAGCAAGACCCTGTCTCAAAATTTTTAAAAAAATTTATAAAAAGGGCTGAGATTCAATCCCTAGCACAGGGGTTGGAGAAGTGGGTAGGCTAAAATGCAAAAATAGAGCTGAGGGTCTGATGACACACACCACCAATGCCAGCTACTCTGGAGATTAAAGAAGGAGGATAGTAAGTTGGAGGACAACCTAGGCAACTGTCTCAAAATAAAATTTAAAAAAAATGTCTGGGGATGTAGCTCAGTGTTTACCTAGCATTTGCAAGGCCATGTGTTCCATGTCCAGTACTACCAAAAAAAAAATTTAAAAAGTGAGTTTTGCTTTTATGGTACTAGAGATCAAGCCCAGGCCTTCACACATACTGGGTAAATGCTCTACCACTAAGCTACATCCCCAACCTGAAAGTGAGTTTTTACCAGTCTAGTGTAAGAGATAGACAATGGAACAAAGGGATGAGTTATTGAATGATGGACTCCAGAACATGAGATGAGTAGGGAGATAAATGAGGATAGGAAACAGCTGATGGGAAGAAAGGAAACAGGAGTCCCCAGACTGGAGGAGGCCTCAGTGAGGTGAAAGAAGTAAAAGTCTGAGCAGTTGTGATCAGAGTAGAAATCTGCAACCGATGTTACAGCAGAGCAGTATGGGTTGCAGCTGTAGGAATGGGTGGCAGCACTGTCAAGGGACTGTGGGCCATAGTAGATAAGAAGATTTAAAAAAACAAGGGCTGGGATGGGTGACTACATGTAATCTTGCTGCTTTAAACCTGGAGAAAACATTCAGATGCCCTCTGAGCAAAATAGAGCCCAATCCCCACCATAATCCATGAAAACTCCAGTCCCCTCAGGCCTGGCACCCTGCCTAGAACCTCAGCCTGCTTCTGCACAGCCTTTTCTCTTTTAGGTGTCCCTTTACCCACCTCTACATACTGGCTGGGCTCCTGCTTTGAAAGTGGATGGATACCCCATCCTGGTCCCTTAAACCACATGATGGGTGCCACATGTGCCTGAGAACTTTAGCTATCTTGCCCCACCTCCCAACTGCACCTAGTGTTAGTCAGTAGTTCTTAACTTTTAGGGGGATCTCTGATGTATTGAAAATTAATTAAAGCTGCCACCAAGTCTTTAGAAAACTGTACAAACAACCAATCCCACATACAAATTCAAGGTGTTCCTAGATCCATGCTGTCAATGTCAACCAGATAAAAACTAATTTTGCCATGCTTCTTTAAACAGTGTGATTTGGACTGCTGGCTGCTACCCACTCCTCACCAGGATCTGCCTTAGAGCTAGGGGAGGCCCCTAAATCCAGTATGCTGCTTGATCTTTCTCCCCATTGGCCAAGGTTGCAT